AGGTAGATGACATCTGTAGCTTTTCCCTTGTCCACTGATGCAGTCACTCCATCGTAGAAGACCACCAGCTTAGTCAGGCACAATTTGCCATTGGTGAAGCCATGTTGACTGTCTCTCATCACCTCCCTGCCATCCATATGTTTCGACATGTCTTCCAGGAGGATCTGCTCTATGATCTTACCAGGCATGGAGGTGAGGCTGACTGGTCAGTAGTTCCCAGCTTGGGGCTGGAACAGCCTTTCTAGCCAATCTCCTCCCTGGTGGTTTTTAAAACATATTTAATTTTTATTACTTTAAGGCCATGAAACACTATGGAAAATGTTTCAACCAACTCCGTAGATCCCTAGGAAGGATTCCTTGTGGTTTGCTCCCAGAGACTGGATAGCTCGTGGGGCTGCCAGGTCTGTGCTTCCTCTTTGCATTTGCCTTTAAAAAATACCCTACAGTTTGTAAATGTAAGTGCCAAGATAAACAGGCACATCAATGGCAACCTGCAAGAGACAGAAGAAAAATTTTAAGGCAAGAAAGGTTTATTTTTTAAAATTTCCTTGGAGGAACTGTGGTCAGGATCTTCTTTAATTTTTTATTGAAAGAGCAAACTCTTTGCCAAAAAGATCCTTCTTCCCAGCTTTGTCAGGTAACTCAGCTATGAATTAGTTTGAAATTGTACTTTTCTTGATAACGTTGGTTGGTTGTTGTCAGTAAAGAATTGCAGGTCACAAAGAGGTGAAGGTTTATTAATCCAAACAATAAGTGAGTGAGGAAGCTTCGATGGCTGAGAACCATATCGTGTGTGCAAAGTCACCGTCACGGTGATGCTCAGATGTGCTGCAGCAGGCGGGTGTCAGTCGCCTGCAGTTAGCTGTGAAGGGTGGTGGTCTGCTGCCTGCCTGCCTGCTGCTACCCTCCTGCTCGCTGCTGGGGGGTTTGGAGGCTTTTTCCCTCCTCCTTTATTGATAATGGTGAACATCAGTGCTAAGCGTTGGGCTGCAGGCAGGAGTTCCCCCCCTGCCCTGAGTAACATCCTACGTGGCAGCTCTGGGCGCCGGTTCCTTGTGTTTGTCCCCTTTGTGTTGCATGGGGGACGCTTTTGGGAACTCGGAGAGCTGCGGGGAAGGGGAGCACGAGGGAATCGGTTTTTCTCTTTCCCAAGCAGCTGAGGATGTGCTGAAGCTGAGTGGTGTTACCAGCCTGGGCTGGGTGTTTGCCGTCTGCCGGGTCGGTGCCCTGTTTGCTGTTGGCAGAGGGAGGGGAAAGAGCTCCCAGTGCTGCCTGCACCCCTGCCCTCACCCCTGCCTCCCCCGTGCTGCCTGGGCTCCCCTCCAGGGCAGGTCACAGTGGGCCCTGGGGCTTCTCGGGGGCGTAAGGCTCGACCCTGAATCAAAACCTCCTCCCCCCTCCCAGCAGGGACTGGGGACACGGCCCCACGGTGCTGGTGGCCATGGGAGCACCCCTGCTCCCCTGCTGTGCTCAGTGCCAGCAGGAGTGGAGCAGCCGTCCCGGTGGGCTGTGGGCTGCAGGGAGCCTGTCCTGTCCTTTTAAGCATCACGTCTTGCTCCCTAGCGCTGCTCTGCTCGCCGGGGTGACGCTGGCCGTAGCGGCGGTGATGTTGTGGTACTTCCAGCTTCCTGTTGCTGAATGTTACTCGCCGTGAATGGTTAAATAGATCTGAGTGAGTCACTTAAACAGACGCCATGGATGTGAAAATAATTGTCTGGGAAGCCTGTGCCTGCCAGGTCGCCAAGTAATCCTCACATGTCCTGTGACTCAAAGCCAGCCAGAAGGAGTGTTTTCCACCTGCTGCTCAGTTGGAAATATTTTGAAGGAAGTCAGCCTAGCTCCCCGTCCCGTGTCCCCTCCATCCGTCCACGTGGTCCTTGTCCCCTTCCTGAGTGGCCAGCACGGGGGGATGTTCACCTGCGCTCACCACTTGCCCTGTGCGTCCTCAGTGATGGCATCACTGCAGTGTATCCCTCAGCCTGAACTGACAGGGAGAAGGAGCAGCACATAGCAGTGAGTTACGTGAAATTGTCTTGTAGGATCGAAGGTGGATATGGGTGGGAAGGGACCTTGGAGGTCCCTGGTCCAGTACCCTCCAGCAGGTACGTTAGATCAGGTTGCTCAGGCCTTCACCCAGCCACATGCTGAATATCCTTAAGGATGGACATCCCACAGCCTCTCTGGCTCCAGTGTTTGACCGCCTTCATGATGGCAATTTTTTTTCCTAATATCTAATTTGAGTTTTGTTTGTCCCCGCTTGGTCCATCACTGCTTGTCCTGTCCCTGTGCACCTCCAAGCTTCAGCAAGAAGCTGAAGGTCACCTCCAAGGACCAGCAGGAAGTGTGGCTCCAGCTTCTCTCTACCCTTCTGCTGGGTAGTCGTAGGCAACAGTAGGAACCCCCTTCGCTTTCCCCTTTCCAGGTGAACAAGCCCAGTTCTCGGTCTGTCCCCGTGTTCATGGCAGCCTGTTGTCCCCCGGCACTCCTGGGTCTTTGCTTCCCCGTCAGCTGGCCCCAGCCTGTCTGGGTGCAGGGAGTTACTCAGCCCAGGCTGGTTTATTTCTTTATTAAATACAAGTTCTTCAAGAACGGGGAAAAAAATAAATAATTAGTCACTTAAACGAGAACTCAAACTGAAAATGTCCTCTTCCTTTCCCTGCATTTGTGCTTATTCTCTAGCAAATGCATAATTGTACCACTTCCCCCGGTGAGGCCGCTGTGTTGGCTTGCTCAGAAATACTTGGAGCCTGGGGTGAAGGTATTCGCAGACGTGTTCATTTTCTCCTTTTCCCAATAGTGCTGAAGCTCTTAGCTCTGAGTCAGAAATGTGTACAACCGTCGATAGGATGTGACCTTCCCCCAGCACATTCCCATCATCATGATTTTCTAATTATGCCTGTGACTGCCAGCTGCGAGCGTACAGCATCAGAGCTACCACAGCCATTGAAATGACTCAGTTAATGTGCCTAGAGTCTATTAAACAAAGTTTATTTAATTAAGTAAGTCTTGATCTCATCAAAATCAAGAGGGAGCATTAGGGTGGCAGCATTTCCGAGAAATCATATTTGAATGGCAGGTGGTTTGTACTTTCTTTAGTATCTGGGTCTTGAGATATTGCGATGTGCTGGTCTCACTGCTGAGTTTTGGGGTTGGCCGGTCCCACGGTTGGGGCACAGTTATGTCCCTGGCAAGCCAGCTGGGCTGCCACAAGCCCGTGGGCGAGCACAGGGCATTTCGTACCGCCCAGCCTTTTTGCAGGTGCGCAGCATGAAGGGCTGCGCAGGCAGAGCATGGTTGGGTACCTGCGTGCTGGGCACAAGTGCTGTGCCCCCCAGTCCAGCCCTGCTGCTGTGCTCGGAGGGGTCCGGCAGTTTCTGAAGCACAGCGTGGTGAGGGGCACACCTGCACGTCTCGGCTCCTTTGAGGACACTCTGGTTTCTGAGAGAGGAACCTGGCTGAGATCAGACTCACAGAGTGGTTTGGGCTGGAAGGGACCTTCAAAGATCATCCAGTCCAACCCCCCTGCCAGGACCAGGGACATCTGCCACTAGATCAGGTTGCTCACAGCCCCGTCCAACCTGACCTTGAACACTTCCAGGGATGGGGCATCCACAGCTTCTCTGGGCAACCTGTGCCAGTGTCTCACCACCCTCATGGTACAACATTTCTTCCTTATGTCCAGGCTAACCCCACCCTCGTTCAGTTTAAAACCATTGTCTTGTGTTGGGGACCCCGGAGCTGGACGCAGTGCTCCAGGGGGGTTTCAGGAGAGCGGAGCAGAGGGGGAGCATCCCCTCCCTCGACCTGCTGGCCACGCAGCTGGTGATGCAGCCCAGGAGACGCTTGGCTTTCTGGGCTGCAAGCCCACATTGCCAGCTGATGTCCCATTTGTCACCCACCAGTATTCCTCAGTTCTTCCCTGCAGGGCTGATCAAGGAGCTTTGCTCCGATCCGGGTTTGCCAAGCATGGCTTGCGGCTTGGAGATGCTGCTGCAATGCAGAGAAAAGTCCTACAAGACACGAGTGCCCGGAGACATTGCAATGGTTGTGCTGTCAGTGGTGGTGAGCCCAGAGCCGATTCCTGGCATTTGCACAAAGGAGTAAGGGCAGATAGCCCTCTGCCAGATCCCATCGGTCAGGCAGGGCTCAGAACTTTCCCAGCTGATTTACTTCTCTCAAGTGTGGCATATGCTGTAGTTTCCTCCTCTCTCTAGCCAGGTCAATAGTCCTGGCAGCCCGGGAGACTCTTGAAAAAGCCCTCGCAGTCTTGGAGGGGCGGCCTTGGGGAGATGCTGAGACTCATGACGGGCTCCGTGCTCGGCAGGGCTCTTCTCCCAGTGGGAGCTCATGCAGGTCGCGCAGGCACGCATGGGATGCCTGTGGGGACAGGGACTTGCTCGTACTTGTTTTTATTTACAACTCCTGTGCCCCTGCCCCTGAAATACGAGAATTGCTTTACACCCTCCTGTCACTGCTGGGCTGCTCAGAGTCATTCCTGAGATGTGGCCTGTGGGACTGGGGGCACGTTTCTGGCTGCTTCAGCTCCTACTTTTCTGCCAAAAGCAGCAAATTCAGGCTGGGGATGAACACCCATACACTGGCTGTTAGTCAGGGGGTGCCAGTAAAAGATGTGACCTTTTGTAACACCCTGGGGAGGGCTTGCCTGTGTGGCAGGGGCTTGGGGAGACCAGTGCTTGGTGAGCAGAAGGTTTTTGGGTTGCAGCAGTGGTTTTTCTCTCCACTACAGGAACCAGCACTGTGGATTGTGTATCCCTTCCCTTCCACTTTCTGCAGAGTGCTGGGTATAGGGTAGGTTAGGGCTGTGTGGGCAGGGGGTCCTGCAGAACGGCTCCCCGGCTCCCTGCTTGCCTGACCAGCAGCAGGGTTATTTCCAGGCTCAGGACTGTGAGGAGAGTCCAGCGGGGTGCGTGGAGTGGAAGTGCTCCCAATCTGGAGGTGGGAGCGCTCGCAGCTCTGGTCTCCACATGCTATGGGGCCAGGCAGCAGATTTTAGCTGTCTCTCCAACACTTCTGTGTTTGCTCTTCTCTTTCTCCCCAGAAACGAAGGAGGAGCTGGAAGAGCTGATGTCTGACATAAAGAAGACAGCAAACAAAGTGCGCTCCAAGCTAAAGAGTGAGTATTTGCCTGTGATGCTGCTGTGGGGCTCTGCCTGCTGCGCTCCTGCCCTGCAGCCCCAGGCAGCGGGTACCACAGCTCCCATCCTGGGCTGGGGGTGCAGCAGGCAGGGAGCACTGCTGCCCTGGGTCCTGCTCCATGCTCCCCGCTGCTCAGCACTTCCCATTCGTCCCCCATGACCAGAAACGCCATGGGGCTGTCATCTCAACCCTGTGCCGGCAGCAGCTGATGTTTGACTTGGGTCAAGACAGTTTTGGGGTGGTTTGCTCTAGGTAGGAAAGGGCAGGTTACAGACACACAGCCCGTCCGTGTGTCCTCTGGCAACCTCAGCTGGTGCTGGGAGGGGTCGTAGAGCTGGGGGAAGGGACAGACAGAAGTGGCATCTGCCATTGCTTTGCAGGGATCACCTGAGGATGGGCATCACCTTCCCTCCCCCTAGCATCCTCTAGCTGCTTTTATTTGCCCTTTGTGAATTTGCCCCCTTGTGCCCTGTTCCCAGGATGGAGGTGAGGGAACGGGGCCACAAGCAAGTCCCGTGCCACCAGCACTGGTAGGCTTTGTGCTCTCCGGGTGAGCCCTGGCTCTGAGCAAACCCGCGGCACGGTCAAAGGTTGGGCTGCCAGGGCTGAATGGTTGAAGAGGTGCTGCTGTGGGACTTGCAAGCCTCCAAGAAGAGCTTGCTCTTCCCTGGTGAGCCAGGTTGGCACGGGCAGCCTAGGCAGGTGCAGCACCGAGAGGTCCCATCCAGACACCCATGGTCCCTCTTCCCTGTGTGGCTCTGGCTGGGCCGGGTGGTGCAGCCGGCTCTCCGGTGGGGCACTGGCATGGGGCGTGCTGCCCTGGGGCTTGTGCTTCTCGCTGCCTCCATCCTGCTCCCGCTGGGCTGGTCTTGCTTTTCCATCCCCAGTGCAGGCTGCATCGCTGGTGGCTCTGCCCAAGGCAGCAGTGCCTCCTGCCCATTCCGGCTATGCTAGCAGCGTAGCCGGGATGGGCAGGAGGCAGCGCTGCCCCCAGACATGGGCTCTGTGGGGAAGAAAGGGGCTGTTGGGCTCAGGGAAGGTTATCCTGTCTCATCAGCATGCCCTGTTGTCTTTGCATGCCTCTCCCTTGGGCAGTGCAGGGATGGAGCACGGCCAACGTGACTGTTAGTTTCCACCATCAGAAGAGTCAATCAATCTCTTTGACAAGTGGGGAGTGAGAACAACACGACTGTCAGCCCCACCGATGGCCGGGGTTGTGCTGGAGCACTCGGATGAGCCCAAAAGCCCAAGATTGGACCCCAGAAGATTCAGGGGGTCAGTGAGGACGGCAGCATCTTGAGGCAGGAGGCAGGTCACCCAGGCACGGCTCGGATTTGCCTGCAGTGGTCTTGGACATCAGCGTGGGATTTAGTTGAGATTGTTGCAGGAGACCCAGCCGTGTCTGAAGGGTGGGAGAGGAGCTGGTGCTTCCCCCAAGGCAGCAGTGTTCTCCCTAATCCCAGGGTTTTGTGGGAGCCCTGCAGTTGTGGAGGACTTACCTATGGCTGGAGCTGTTGGTTAGGTTCATCACCACTGGCGTGGCCATGTCCCATGTGTATGCCAGAAGGAGACTTGTACCTCCGTTGTCCCCTTGCTGCCCTCTGTCCTCCTGACACGTGATCTCAGCTAGGCCCAGGAAGGAGAGCTAGGGGCCGACTTACCCATTTCATAGACCAGGGGATCCCTTCCCATGGACCAGAGCCCCCCACAGCTATACTGGGATCCCTGGTGTCCAGGTGGGGACAGGGTTTAGCCTGTGCAAAACAAAAATCCTTTTCCATAGGTGTTTTGTTTTGTGTTTTTTAAGGGACTTTGAGAGCCTGAAGGATTGCAGGACAGGCTCCGATTCCTGTTTCCTTCTTCCAGAAAAGACTCACTGGTATCGTATTTACCTGGAGCAACGGATGATTAGTCCTTGTGCTTTGTCCCAAATCACCTCGTGGCCGGCATGATCAATGAAAGAAAACAGTCAGAACTGATCAAAAACACCATCTGCTGACAACAAATTGGCTTCTTTAGGACAGACATTGCTCATGCAGTGGCTAATTCTAATTACCAGCTTCTTGGGAAAATGTGATTTTATTAATTGTCATAAATGCACAATGTTTGCCAATACTGTTCCTTGGGAACAGGGAACCGTTTATGACAAGTGTGGAGGAAGACCAATTGCTGATGAAATATGCTGGGCAGGCAGCAGCCAGTGCACTCGCAGGCAGGGGGGTGCACAGGAGAAGTGCCGTGGCCGCCTGGCTGTGTGGGACGGGACTTTTCAGATAAGCTCTAGATACAGATGCCTGTTCCAGGATAGACTGGGAGGGAGTGCAGAATTTGTGCTGATGTTCTTCAGCACTTCCCCCGAGCATGCTGTGCTGTTGGGATGCCCTCTGCCAGCACCACGAAGGGTTCCCCAGGCCCACAGTCTTCCTTACAGCGCTGCTGCTCTCTGCAGGGTGGTACTGTGGGGCCACCCACGCTAACCAGCACACAGCAGAAACACAGATGCCCACTGTGGTGGTGGTGTCCTGCACTCTGCCCTGCTGCGCTGGATGGTGATGGGGAGCCACTGGGCAGCTCCAGGGAATGGGGAGCCCCTGCTGCAGGAAGAACCTGCCCCATGCCTGGGCTCATGGGACCTGCTCCAGTGTGGAAGGTGCTGGGGACAGCCAGGCTCAGAGAGCTGTGGGACATCTGCATTGGGAATGGGGTCTTCAGCCAAACTCAGGGGATGCCACCAGCTCACACCTGGTGGTCTACATGGAGACATGTATCTCTGCACGCTGGGTCAGCCTGCTGACGGGAGCTTTCTTCCAGGCTTTTTAAGTCCCTGAATTTAAGTTTTTGAATTAGCATGTCCCGAGCTGGCCTTGAGGAGCAGATTTGCACTGCCTTGCTCTGTGCCAGACCTCCTGCCCTGCAACCCCATGCTCTCTCCCTGCCCAAACCACGGTGGGATGCTGAGCAGGGCAGCGCTCCTCCCTGCTGTGATTTATGGTCTTTGGACAAGTGAGGAATTCGTCTCACTTAGCTGCACTACCGGGCATAATTAAAAAGGAAAATCTCTGCTTTGCTGCAGAGGACTGTTCAGCAAGATGAAGCGCGCTCTTGCCAGCCTGGTGGGTCCTCCCTGTGCAAGGCCGGGCAGCTGGCAGACCTACTATTTTTAGGGTCCCTGGAGAAGTCTTGAGCTTTGGTATTTTGCAGAGACATTTTAGCTCTGGGTTTCCTCGTCCTGCGTAGCAGGGGGAGAACAGCACTCCATTTTGTTTGAATACTGGAAAGTGCGGAGATCAGACCTGAGCATTATGTCAGTTTTGTGTTGAAATCTTCACTTACCAGCCTGGGGGTGACGGATGCTGCCCTTGACAGCACCAAGTCTCAGCCAGTGGCCAGGCACGGAGTGCTTTGCAGTAATGAAAGAGGGCTGTGCTGCCAGTCCAGGCTACATCGCGGGCTAGAGTCAGGAGCTGGGGGCTGCTCAGTGCCAGATGCTCCTTGATTCACAGGCTTCAATCTTTTACAGTCCCTTTGCCAAACAATCCCTTTTCCTTCTCTAAACAGCACAAAATAATCTGTGTCCTTCTACCCCGACCAGGTATTGAGCAGAGTATTGAACAAGAGGAAGGACTGAACAGATCATCTGCTGACCTGCGGATAAGGAAAACTCAGGTGAGTCTCTGCTCTGTGGCGCTGGGAAGGGGAGGACGGGAAGCGGCGGGAGGCAGTTGAGGGATCCCAGGAGGTGATGGGAGAGGAGGGCTGTGCTTGGGTTTAGAGCAATCAGGTTCTGGTGTGCAAATACTGGGCAAAGTAATGCAGCACATTTCCGAATAGATCAGCAAAAAAGCCAGCCTGAAAGACCCGTGACATAAGTATGCGCAGAGGGAGCTGTGGAGGGGAGGGCGGCGTGCATCGGCCTCGTCCTTGTGTGCAAGTCTGAGCATCTGCGTGGATGAACAGGCGGGTGGGTTTCTGCACGTCCATGTTAAGCATCTCACTAAAGGTGATTTTGACTGGAGCAAAAATGCCCTCCTGAAGTGCCAGGTTTGGGGGGAGAACGTTTGCCTGCAAGGTGTTGAGAAACCTGAAGTCTCTGTGTGTTTCTGTAGTGCCTGGAAGGATGCTTGAGCAGCTCGTAAATGAGACCAAGGCTTACTGATGCAGCTGGGTAACTCACCTAAAATTTCACTTAATCGAAGAAGATGGGTGGTCTTTCAGAGAGCACTGTGCAGGCCTGCAGCCTGCTGGAAATGTTCTTCCCTGTTGGGGTTGTGGTTGCCCCTCCACCGGGCATCGATGTGGCTTCACAGTCCAGGAAACGTTAGACTTCCGAAGGGCTGACACAACTCTTCCTCTTGTTCCCATGAAACCACCAATAACTAGCACCTTCTTTTCCTGAAGATGGGCTTCTTAGCAGGGTTATCCAGGGGTAGAGGTAGAGATGGGGTGCACCTCTCTTTCCTCCACCTGGGTGGTCCCGAGGCTGCGTTATGCTCAGTTGTGATGAAAGGTCGTGCTGCTCGTGCTTCTGTCTGCAGCCAAGGCGGGGTGGAGTGTTTTGGCTCTACAAGAGATGGGGGTTGAGGGACATGGGGCTTGTCCGTGGGTCCAACAGCACGCACTAGAAACTGGAAGTCACTGACCTTGCTTTGGGCCTAAGGTTGGGCTGCATGACCTTCTGAAGTCCCTTCCAGCCTGAATTATCCTACAATTCTGAGTAACTCCCCTCCCACCCCCCTGAAGTCAAGAAATAGCTTAGAAATATTTGATGAAAGAAGTTTTGGAATGTCTTGTAGAGAGGCTTTTCTCTGTCAGGAGCAACTGATTGCAGTGCGAAGGTCTGATTGCTGCAGAACATGCCTGCTGGGCACTGCTCGGGTCCTGGCCTGAGGCAGCTGGAGAGTGAGGACAGGTCACAAACATCTCTCTGATGTCCGTGGTGGGTGCTAGTGGGAAGACTTAGAGAACATCAACAGAGAGAGCACAGTCAATGGGGTTGTGGCAAGGCCAACGACTTGGCAGAAAGTGCCAAAAGAAAATGTCCTGGGGGAAGCAGCAGGCAGGCACGACCCGGGAGGGCAGTGCAAAGTGCGGGGGGAAGGCCGAGGAAAAGGACGTTGGAGGGGAGCTGGGGACAGGGGAGATGACTGAGCTTCATACGCCCCTCATACAGGCTGCGGAATCTTCACAGGTCTCGGGTTAAGTCAGAAGCATTTGACTGCTGATGACCTGAGGTCTCAGAAGACAAGGTTACCCACGGTCTCCAGCTGCTTTTGAAACCAGGGCTTGAATTCCTAAATAATGTGTACTTTGTGAAAATAGGACATGCTTTTACTGATTTTCTGAGGTCAGAGCTATGCAATTGTCTTGGACATCCCAGGATTGCTGAGCATGTTGGGATGGAGACAGGAGAGACCAAGGCCGTGGCTCTAGTGGCCTCTGTTGGATCAGTCAGCAGTGCAAATTTATCTGGATCAGGCGTAGGCATGCGGTGGCACCTTGGTCCCAGCATGTGTGCAAGACTTCGTGCTGGCCAGAGCTGCCATAATCTGTGTGCAGGAGGGTAGGTGGCACCTGACACTGCACCCACAAACACGCCATTAACTCCAGGTTTTAGAGGAAAGTGGATCCAAAAGAGTGAATTTGTGCTGGGTTGGCATCTTGTGTTGTGTGACCATGGCATTTTTTTATTGAGTCCATCCATTGTCAGCTATGGCCTGAGCTCTGAAAGCTGAACTAGTTTAGCTTGATGAAATGGCACTAGACAGAGGAGATTTGGCTTCTTCAGAAAAAGTGTGCAAAGCAAACAAGTGTTTCGTTTAGAGGTGGTATAACTTGGCCATACTACTCAGTAATGGGCTGAAAATGTGGGTTAATTCTCGTGGGGAAGTGATTGTGAAAGAACATGACGTTTTACGGCTTCAGATCCTCCATCTGCCGGAAGGAAAGTCAGAGGCTTGATTGCATGAACTGTTTGACAAGAGCTTCCCCCATCATCTGTGTATCACCCTCGATGGAGCAGCTCCCTCCAGGGCCTTCTAGAGAGGTGTTGTGTCTGCTCGGTGTTGGCTTTGTTGTGTCTCCCAGGCCATGGGCGCGGTGGGGAAGTGCGTCCATGGGGGCCTTCTCAAGTGTGGGGTGTGACCCGGCTTCTCCCTTCCACTTGCGCTGCGGTACTGCTGCTTTTGGGGGCACCAGGGCGATGCTCCAGCAGACCCGTGTTGAGGATGGGTGAACCTGTCCCTGCTGTACAAGAGTGATCAGGTCCTGATGGCAGGATCAGGCCATCCACTGATAGTTGTGTGCCTAAGCCGTGGCCGACTCCTGGGTGCTGCTGCACCCTGCCATGGGATCTGACTTTAGCACTGCCCCCTCTACGGCTACCTGGACTCTAAAGCTACTGGCTCATGTATAGGCTGAAAGAGTCACTTCTCTCCTGCAAACCACCGCGTGTCAGGCTGTCGTGGGGATCTCGCTGCAGGGGGGATCACACGTGGGTGACCCCAGGTGCCTGCTCAGCCCGCAGGTTCCCTTATCTCCAACTTCCCACGCGTGGTTCATGGTTCTCTGGACTGTTCTCTGTGCTCTGCAGTGTTCATTTTCTTGGTCCTTGCTACGGAGATGTTGTTGGAATGTTTATGCCTTGGGAAATGGCACAAGCACTTCTTTGTGCTCTCACTTTGTCCTGCAGAAGCGGTGAGTCTGGGGACCGCTGCTCATGAGCAGGCAGCGTCCTGTGTGTCTCCTGTAGGGAGAGGTAAGAAAGAGTTAGATAAATTGAATGGAAGTATACAAATGGAAGCAGCAGAGGGAATGGCAGAAGGGATACAAGACTGGCATGGGTTGATGGCACCTAACCCAAAAGGTCATCGAGATGCATGGATACATGCAGCTTCTAAGAAGGCTTAGGTGGAAAACCATTGGGCAGCTTGCTCCAGGACAGGAGGTGAGAGGACCTCTGAAGGTCCCATGCAATTTAAATCTTTCCATAATTGTAAATCAGCTGTGCTGCCTAATGGCCCTGAGGCAGAACAGGTCAATGGGGTGGAAGATCAGTGTTGCTGGCAGCTCCCGGCGAGCACAGAAGGTGCATCCCAAACCCCTCTGTGGCCACCAGTAACAAAGAACCCAGGAGATGAGGGGGACCTGTAGGACATGTCACACACAAGTGCTGCTGGCCGTACATCTTGTGATGCAATGTGAATTTGGGGCACCAGAAAATGAGTGAATCCAGGAGGGAGTGAAACCCGCTTTATTTTAAATTTATTTTTGTTGCATAAATCGCCTTCTGTTCAGTGCAGTCTCACACTGAGCTCTGCTAGCTCAGTTGCAGCACTCTGGTGCTGAGCTTCTTTGGTTCATGTCTATATTTTAAGCAGCCTTGCCTGTCCTGGCTTGGCCATGGGCTTGTGTGGTGAGAGCTCAGCCAGGCTGGAGACGTTTCCCTGAGGGGAGTCACAGTGTGGTGGCCAGGCAAACCATCTGGGTTGCAAGGGTCCAGGGCACCCGCGGGATGACTGCATGGTTGGTACAGGGCTTATGAGCCTGTCACGCGTGTCTCATCATCGCAACTTCTTAAAATCAGCCTTCTCTGGGCTGATGCTTTGTCTTCTGCCCCACCATGCAGGGTTGCTCTGTAGTTTTTATTGCAGGTTGGCCAACCTTCTGGTGATCCTTTGGTGAGAGAGCACCTGGCAAGATGCAGTCATTGCTCCAGCAGTGGAATCTGCCTCTGCATTGCTGCAGGGCGAGCTACAGTGCTTTGCCCTCGCTGGTCGTACTGGAGGATGTGGATGAAAATGAGGCGTCTCAGAGCAGAGAAGCAAGGCCTTGCTCTGCAGCGAAGATTGTGTTTTAGCAAATCATTAAACTGATGAAGGCCAGGGGAGCTGCCAGCGTTGCTCTTCAGCACCCAGGGGTGGGGATCCAGGCATGGATCTGCTGCTCTCACAGGGGGTTTACGCACAAATACAGCTCAGTAAAAATCCTACTTTCTCTGAGCACTCTGCAGTGAAGCCAGAGGAGTTTTGGCGTTTACAGTTTATCTCCTTTTCAGTCTGGGAAGCCGCTCGCGTAGTCTGCTCTCCCATGCCGCAGTCGGTGCCGAATCAATACAGCAGTGACGTTAACTGATCACCTCTGCAGAGACAGCTTCCAGCTCGGAGCCCAGCATCCTCCCAGCCCTGCACAAGTGCTGAGAGGCTGTCACGGCTGAGCCTGAGGCAGTGGGGAAACAGTCCTCTGCAAAACTGGGGCAAGAGAAAGGCTTGTCTCCAGAGCAAGTGGGAAGGAGAATTGCTGGGGCATAGCAAAGCCAAAGCAAAGTATAGTGCAAGAGCACACCGCAAAGCAGGACAGCAGCTCTGTCCCTCTGCACGCTAGCTCTCCTGTCCCTCCCCAGGGCGATCCTGTTAGGGCAGAGGTCTGCTCTAGCTGGGCAGTGTCGGGGGGAGTCAGCAGATCTCTTCCCAAAAAAAACCCCTTTGCCTTTATCACTCCAGAGACACTGCTGTGTGCTGACAGGAGTGCTGTGAAATCCCCACCAGGCCTTCGGCTCTGCTGTGCCCTTCAGGAGCTGTTTGCCATCTCAAATGCAGGTGCCGGGTGGCAGTGGCAGGGAGGGGGAGAGCAGGGAGGTGGCAGCCGAAGCTGGCTGTCCCTGGTGTCAG